GAGGCAGGCATGAGCTATCTGTCAGCTCATACCACTAAGACTAATATTTTTCAACATTGTTATAGGATCTGACTTTATAACTGTAACTCCTTGGTACATTGCCTTTATAATAACAATTTAAGGAGAGAGAGAGAGTTAAGTAGAGAGTCCTGAGCTCATGATGGGAAATGCAAGGGGACCTTAAAATGCAGGATGACACATTGCAAGGTCTCAGAGAGAACACATTGTAATTAACTTAAAGGTGGCAAGACTATAATCCTTCAAGGTCATGGAAAGTCAGAAAGTAGACTTTTTGAGTGCCCCACCTACCTAAGAATTCAGGAACGGCTTTGTCCCAGTTAAAGGTGGATCAACAAATATTTCCTGGAACAACTTATCTCCAATTTACCTACCCAGATTGTAAAGCATGTGTTAATGCAATTAGTGCAGTCTAATTCAGTGACCCCCCCCCCCCCCCCCCCCCCCCCCCGCAAGTCTGGGACAGTAACTGACCCAGTATTGAAAGTGAATTCCAATCCACAGCCTGCCCACTGGTGGCCAGGCCTGGAGCCTCTTGGTATCTTAGTGGGTGTCAAGCTTGTTATCATGTACATTCTGTACAAAGAATTGTTATTTTTCTCTTTTTTGGTCATTGATGGTTTATTGTGTTTTCTTTTGCTTTTTTTTTTCTGTTGGTAGTGGGACTTGAATTCTGGGCCTGGGCGCCGTCCCTGAACTCTTCAGCTCAAGGCAAGCGCTCTACCACTTTGAGTCACAGCGCCACTTCCAGTTTTCAGGTGGTTTATTGGAGATAAGAGTCTCATGGACTTTCCTGCCCCAGCTAGCTTTGAACCTCAATCCTTAGATCTCAACCTCCTGAGTAGCTAGGATTAGTGTTTTCTTTAAAAAAAAAAATTCTGGGGCTGAGAAGGTGGCTCAGTGGTAGAGTGCTTGCCTTGAGCTGAAGAGCTGAGGGACAGCACCCAGGCCTAGAGTTCAGGCCCCATGACTAACCAAAAAAAAAAAAAAAAAAAAAATATATATATATATATATATATATATATTTCACTGAAGGCCCTGGCATGGAGACTTTGCCCACTGGTGAAATTGGTGGCTAAGACTGGGCATGCCATTAACTGGGCATGCGACTTCAACTTCATCCACCAGTTAGACAAGATGGCATCTGTTAAACTCAATTCTCTTCATCCACCACGTTGCCAAGATGGTGCTGGTTAGATCCAGTGTCCTTGTTTCAGCATGACTTAAAAGATTTCTATTTATTTTCCTCAACTCAGGATCTAAAGCTGAAACTCAGGCACAGTGCATAAGATTTTATTTCCCTAAGATATGTATTCAAATGTTTTTTTCTTTCAGGTGATTGTTTCTAACACATTTATAAGATTATTTCTTTGTTGCTTTGTATGTCCCTCCCCCATGGTATAACCCCTGCTTTCACTGTATTTGAGGTTGGTATAATTTGTGGAGGGGAAGGGAAAAAACAAATCGTTTTAATAGGGATACAGGTGGATCCATTGCAACAATGAGATGTACAAGTCGTTATGTGGAAAAACTTTTACAACTTTGGTGTTGGGGGAGGAGGATTGGGTGGAGGGGAGGAGGGAGGGAGGTGGGAAGGGATGGGAAGGGGAAAGAAAGGACGAGGCTACAATGTTTGATAAAAAAAAATGTACTCATTATCTTGCCCATGTAATTGTAACCCCTCTGTACAGTATTTTCACAATAAAAAATAAAAATATTATATAACAAAAAGAATTTGTTTCATTTGCAATCCATTTTCCACTCTGTCCTTCCCATACTACAAGCAGTGAGTTCTAATCCTCTGCTTCTCAACTGCGATCTGAAGACCACGTGTATACCAACAATAAAAACTCCTCCCTGGAGTTCTTAGATCAGTAAGATTAGAATGGTAAGGAGGTGGGGCCAAGAAATCTGCATGGTAATGAGTTCCTACATCCTAGTTACTGGATTGGTCCGATCCTGGGAGGTCTTCAAAAAAGTAAAGAGGCCTCTGCCTGGTATTGGGTGGTGAGTTTGGGATGTTGTGGCAAAAAGGAATTCCAGGACACATAAAGGCCTAGACCATAAAAGTTTATTGGTAAAACAAGGCAAGGTAGAGAGATAGTACAAGACCTAGAGGTGAGTATGGACTCATCTGATAACAGGTGTAACAAGTGATTTAATATCACAGCCACTTATGGTGAAAAAATAGTTTGGGAGTTGGCTAAAATTATTCACCTTATGGTGAGTTCTCCACTTTATTCTCACACTTGGCATGTTTAGCAGTCTTGTTACAAATTGTTTTGTGCTTGGTTGCTCATACTAGAGCTTGAATTCAGGGCTTCACACTCTTAAGTAATTCTGTGTTTTTCATTTTCACAAGTGCTCTTTCACTTGAGCTACTACTCCATTTCTGAAGTGTTTTGCTAGATAATTGGAGATAAGAGTCTCACGGATTTTTTTTTTTCCTGCCTGGGCTGGCTTTGAACTGTGACCCTCAGATCTCACTCAACCTTCTGAGTAGCTAGGATTACAGGTATAAGCCATCAGCTCCCAGATTGTTGTATCATTTTTATCAATTGGATCCAGGGACTTTAAGATTCACTTGATCATCAAACTTGAGTCTAATGTCTAGACAGCTCATCAAAGAAAGGATAGCTTCTACAATATATTTCTTTCAGGACAGCTAGCCATCCTTGAAATACATAATTTAAACACATTGTATGCCCAAAGCAATCATTTTCCCACGTGTTTGTTTTTTCAGGATAAATGTCTTTGCTCAGTTTCCAGAGCACACTAACTATTTTGGGCAAGTAGGCAAGGTCAGAGGGAGAGAGAGAGACTTTCCTCCCCCTCCCCGCCCCCAAACTCCCTTTGTCACCAATCCTGTAACTTGTGAGGGAGTGTAAGGCATAAATCAAGGGAGACAGTGCTTCTGTGTTTCTAAGAGCTACTCACTGTTGATAGTGTTAACATAGTCTCTGGATTCTTACTGCAATTTCCCATGCCTCATTTCCCCTCATCTACCCTCCCTCCTTCTTACTCACTGAAAGCTGAGTCACTCTTAACTGTCTTATGGTCTCAGCCTCTTGGTATGTCTTTGTAGGAAGTCAAGTAATTAAACCTATCATAGTATATGTCATCTTCTCTAGGCTAGAAAATATCGCCATTATTATCTACAGGAAAGAAGTGTTCCTTCCAAAGAGGAGGGTGTGCTTGTCCCCCAGAAAAGTCGGCAGAGCTGGGGGAACACAGAACAACATGATTCCATTGGCTCAGGATGGAAGGTGATCAAAATCTCAAAAACTTTAGCTGTGTGAGAGTCATCATCCTTCCCTCACAGTCTGTTCTCAGATAGCCTTTCCTCAATTTTCATTAAATGTCTTTGCTTCTACCATGAACTTGGGCTTCAGTGCCACTGCTTTGTACTTGTAGACCTGTCCTGGACTGTTGGCCCCCACTGTTGTGAAGACTGAGTGTGAATATTGATCATTCAGAAAGCCTCTGTTTCTAGTTGATAGATTCTTGTCACCCCAGGTGCTGTTCTCATGGACTTTGAATGCAACACATATGTTCCTAATTTCTCCAGCTTATAAACTGTGCAAACTCTGCTGTCATGTGAGTGATCTTTATTATACTGGCTGTATCCTCCCCCCCTCCCCAAGCTCCAATGCACACACCCTTGGTGCTGCTGGTATTCAATTTCTAATGTCTCTTCTTCTCCCCACTTGAACTCAAAACAAAAATCTTTTTCACACAAATCCTTCCATGGCTGCAGGGCCGGGGGCCACCTTTGTCAGAACTCTGATCGGGTTGGCTAGCACAGCCTGCTCATTCTCTCGATTGGTAAGCTTTGCCCTGTGTGCTTTGGGCTCCACGAAGAGACAGGCAGTACTTTGAACTACAGACTTGTTAAATGTCTTAGGAACATAATTAAAAAAAAAAAAAAACCAACCGTACAATTGGATGAACAACAGGGGATGAAAGATAAACAGGACTTGGAATGAGCGCTGGGCACTGCTGGGCACTGAACCTGGCAGCCACTGGCATAAATGGAACACCTGTCAATGGGCACTACTGTTTTTCACCGTGGGCAGCGAAAGGCTGCCAGATGCTTTCTACAAAATTCTGGATGTGTAATCCCATAAATACCACGGCTTTGCCCATCGGTGAGCGCAAAGGCCCTACATACGCACAGGCAAGCAGACAAAAGAGTGAAGAAAGATTAGTCATGCAAGTCAGAAGGGCCCTGGGGAATAAGTCCCAAAGCAAAATCCCAAAGGGATTTTATTAGGGAAATCATGCATATTAATGAAATTATAACGAGAAAAGTTTACCACCGGAGCACACTCCTAATGGTTTCCTCCTTGTCAGAAACAAACGACTGGGAGGTTGAAAGGTGCAGCCACCTTCCCCTCCCCAAAGCTGGCAACTCTGCCAGCTTGACCTGTTTCTTCCAGCCAGCTCCACCACCCTTCACACTTGGGCTGGGGCCAGGTCCAGAGCACGCCGCCCAGGCGCTGCACGGAAGGGGGCTCGGAAGCGACCACTTGTGGGGTCTCCAGGGCAGGGCGCCGGGAGCTGGCGTTCGCGACACCTTCCTACGGTGGCGGGTGGGCTCGGGTAGCGAGGGGCTCTGTTGGGGTCCGGCCACACCTGGGACGCAGAGTACAGGGGTCAGCCTTCCCTCCCCGCCTTCAGCAGAAACGCTGGTGCGCTCCGCCGCCGTGCGCACAGGTGGGACACCCAGCCTCCGAGCGCTGGGGCGCGCGCGCGCGCGCGCGTGGCGGGAGCGGGTACCCCGCCTCCAGGGGTGTGACCTATCCCACGAAGGGGCGTGGCCTACACCGTGAAGGGCCCGGGCAGGAGGGGCGTGGCCTCGTGCCACGGGGGCGTGGCCCCCGGCGGGGCGGGGTTTCGGGTCCGGGAGGCTCGGGCGGCCGCGGCGGGCGGGCGGGCGGGCGGGTGGCGGGGCCGGGCGGAGGGGAGGGGACAGAGCGGCCGGCCGCGCGGAGGGAGTGAGTCACCTGACCGCTGCCCGCGCCGCCCGGAGCTCGCTGGCTGCCGTCAGTCGGGCCTCGCCACCGCGTCTCGGCTGGGTGAGTGGCCTCGGTCGTCCTGTCCGCCCTTCCGTCCCGGGGCGGTTCAGCCGGCAGGGGTGGCGTCCGGGGAGGCGGGCGGCGGAGGGGTCTGGGGTGGGGCGCAGCGGGGATCGTGGGAGTGTGTGTGTGGGGAGAACGGCTGCCGGCGGTCCCCCGGTTCCTGGAAGCGGCCGTGTTCTCTGGAAGGGACGCCCCGCGCGCGCGGTGCTGGCAGCCCGGCCCGCGCCGTTGTTTACCCGCCGCCGCCGCCGCGCGGTCCTTCACCCGGGGCGGGGAGGGGGGGCGCCGCGGGGTGCGCGTCCCCGGTCCCAGGCCCGATCCCGCCCCCCACCCCCACCCCGCACTCCCACCCCACCCCCGGCCCGCCCGGGGCTGACACATCAGCACCGCCCCGGCGGCCGCCCGGGCCCGGTGTGGTTCCCGCGCGTCCCCCTGCGCCCAGGCCGCCGGGGTCCAACCACGCAGGACAGGCCGAGACGGTGGCCCGGAGCTGGGGAGGATCTGAGTCTCCCCGTCCCGGTACCCCCGGGCTGGTCTTTGTGTTGGAGCTGTGCCCCCACAGGGGCGAGAGTGGGGTGTGGATGGCCGCGGAACCCGCGTGGGGCTGGGGGTCGGTGGGGGCGATCGGGGCGGTCGGGGCGCATCGCCTTCTCCCTCCGACCCGGCAGCTCCGCGTCCCCGAGTTCGAATCGCTCCGAATGCCCCCCCCGCCCCACCCCCTTCCCCGGGGTGTGCTTCCCTTGGGCTGAGTCAAGGTGGACGGGAGTAAGTCAGTGTGGAAGAGCGCGTGTGGCCAGCGCGCCGCGCGTCACGCCTGCGAGAGAGAACAAAGACGGCGGTCGTGGGGGGCACAGGGTTCTCCCGTTCCGGTCTAGGTCTTTGTTGGGGCTTCTGGACACGTTTTCAGTTATTTAATTTGCTGATTTGGATGTAACGTCCCTTTCCCGGGAAGCCCCCGGTGCGGCCGTGGCCGGCCTGGTTGCGTGCCATCGGCTCGGTCCCGAAGAGGAAGGGAGCACGGAGAGGTTGCGGGGCCGGCCTCCCCCCCGCGCCGGGTCCCCACCCCGCGCCTGGCTCCTTGCGGGTTGGTGTTGCCAGGGTTGGGGGCCGGACTTGGCCACTTCTGCCCGGTGGACCTCTCCGAGACGCCTCCGGGGAGCAGAGGGGGCCCTGGGTGAGTCAGTTCGGCGTCGGAGGCGAGATGGCACGGGGTCGGGGGCGGGGGGGGGGGTTGAACCCCCCAGCGACTGTCGGGGGGTTCACCGCGCCCGGTGCCGCCCGCCGCGGGGTTGGGTAACGAGGTAGGGTGACTCTTGAAAAAAGTTGGGTTGCTGAGTCACTCACCCCAGACGGAGAGGTAATTAGGAACAGCCTGGGCCGAGGAGTTCAGCACACGCCTCCACCTTCAAAGGCCCGGGCGCCCGGCCGAGGGGCGGCCGCCGGAGCAGCCCCGGGGCTGCTGCAGACACCGGCCGGTCCCCGCGGCGGGGGTCCCGGGCCGCCGGCCTCGCCGCTGGTCACCCCCGCCTCCTGCGGGACAGTGAACCGGACTGGGGCCGGAGAGAGCCATAGCTAGGGGAGAAATTTGCTACCCCGAGGCACCAGGTCCAGCAACCTGGGAACAACAACAAAAAAAGCCCGGGTGGCTTCTACTCAGTTGATTGTGTCCCTCTTTTCTGGAATGGTGGTGGTTGTTGCCAGTTGGTGGTTAATCTGTGGCTAATCCAGGTCAAAAGTGAGCCATATGTGTTATTCGTGGAAATGTCTTTGTGACTTCACAAAAGGGGGTTGATCTCATTTGTTGTTGTTGTTGCTTTTTCTTGGCCCTTGGGCTTTTCAGGAATACCTGAGTAGTTTCCCCGAGTCGCGCAACCGAACCCGCATGGACTGAGCCGGTCTCTAACTTGAGTGAAGTTTCTAAAGAACTGTTTACACGAATCTGTCTTACTCTCCTGGTCTTTGGTGGTGTAATCTTTGCACCCTAGGCCCTCGTGTTTTTGCTTTAAAAACAAGTCCTCTATTCACTGTGTAGGCATGGAAAATGGTGAGTGTGTGTATGGTGCACACGCGTGCACCTACACGTGTGCAGACACATAAACAGAATATCTGGCTTCTTACCTTTGCCCTTCCCCGACCCCCAACAGAAATAATGATCCTTATTGATGGAAAGTAGTTTGTTGAAACATTTTGTAATAGAAGAAACAAACAACCAAACAGTTACTCTTGCTTTAAGTGTGGGACTAGAGCAGATTAGCAACCATTTTTTTTTTTTAAATGTACTTGGATTTCTAAGGTGGTGTACAAGATTAATTTTATGTAAAAATAAGGAAAATATAAAGCCTAAAGATACAGATGAAAAACAAGGCTTGCATGTTGAGTAATATGAGTGTATGGCCTTCATTCTTTTTCTGTTAGGTAATGTAAGAAGATTGTTAAAAGTACATGCTATTTTCCAGAACTGGAATCTAAAACAAAAACCACCAAAAAAACTAACTCCCTTAAAAATATATAAAAAAGGACCAGCTTTTAATGACTTGATTTAGAGCTGCAGTTATTTCAGAAGATTTTATAATATTTATCTTTTATATGTATTTTAAAGATTACAGTGGTAGAGTGCTTGCCTTGCATGCATGAGGCCCTGGGTTCGATTCCTCAGTACCACATAAGCAGAAAAAGCCAGAAGTGGCACTGCGGCTCAAGTGGTAGAGTGCTAGCCTTGAGCTGAAGAGCTGAGGGACAGCGCCCAGGCCCAGAGCTCAGGTCCCATGACTGGCAAAAAAAAAAACAAAAACAAAACACAAAACACAAAACAAAAAAAAGATTACTGTATTTTAAAGATTAGAACCTTCACTATAACTACATTTCCTATTACCGTTAAAGTTTTTATTGTTATTATGAAGGTGATGTACATAGTTACATGTCAGGGGAAGAGTAGTTTGTTTTTGGACAATGTCACCTCTTCTCCCACTCTATTATATATATTATATATATATAAATATGTATACATGTCTTCTTGTTGTTGTTGGTGGTGGTGGTGATCATGGGGCCTGAACTCTGGGCCTGGGCGCTGTCCCTCAGCTCTTTAGCTCAAGGCTAGTGCTCTACTACTTGAGCCACGGTGCCACTTGTAGCTTTTTCTGCTTATGTGGTGCTGAGGAATCGAACCCAGGGCCTCATACATTCAAGGCAAGCGCTCTACCACTGAGCCACCTTCCCAGCTCCTCTATTATATTTTGGAAAGTAGGAATAGAAAGTAAAAAATATTCATTTAGTTACATTTGATACTATGCTATTTTGAATTTGGGATAAACTTAGCAGCAGGCTTACTTAATGTATGTGATTTGAAGTGTGGCAGAGAAGGTGTAATTGGAACATTTGAAGACAATTTACACATTGCATGTAATATGATGCATCTTCCTAAGATACATACTTCTTGTTACTTCTTGACAGCCTGTTGCCTCCCTTACGCCCTCAACCCTCCCTCTTCTCTTCTTTCCCTTCCTTCCTTTTCCTTTTATCCATGCGTATATATTCTAATGACAACTAATAAGACTAGGACGTCAACAGTTTTCTTAGGAGGTAGCATTTATTAGAAAAAACGATTTCCCAGGAGTGCTGGTGGTATTTACCATGCAGCCAAATCTCCTGTGCCCAGCACCTCTGTGCTGAGGCCTGCCTCCATACCCCTAATAAAGAGGTGACAGAACTGGGAAGGTGGCTCAGTGGTAGAGTGCTTGCCTAGCATGCATAAAGCCCTGGGTTCGATTCCTCAGTATACCACATAAGCAGAAAAGCCAGAAGTGGTGCTGGGCCCAAGTGGTAGAGAGCTAGCCTTGAGCAAAACAAGCCCTTGAGTTCAAGCCCTAGGACTGGGGAAAAAAAGTGACACTTAAAATACCAATTGCAAAACTATGTACAATGACCAGGTGTCTTTGTAAATGACAGGACTTACGTTTTAGGAACATCCTCCTCCCTTCAGTTTTCCCAGGATATTCTACTTGAGGGAGAATTGCTTCTCCTAATGCTTCTACAGAATGGAGGGCTTATGCTGTGTGTGAGGAAAAAAAAAAAGATTTATGAGGCTATTTTGGTTAAGTATGATGCCAAATATGGTAATCTACCAATGTCCAAGGTATGGGTAATTTGAGTACTATTTGCCAGAATCTGGGCTCCTTGGAGAGAGTGAACATTTCAGGATGACAGATAAAATATTGGTTTACATCCCCACTAGGCCTGGGTGCCAGTCTTACTCGGAGTACAGAAGTAACAGAACTGAAACTGTGGCTTGGTTCTTATACACTTGACAGAAGCAGTGAGCTAAGTGGTTTGAAGTAGGAACCAGACCTCTGAAGGTCAAGTTCTGGCTGGGTCATCCTAGACAGCTGTGAGGATTCAATGTGTTAACTAAGGTGATAAACTGAAGAGTGCAGGCTTTATTTGAATTATTGCTAAATGTTTGGTGTTATTTTCTGTTGTCCACAATGAGGAAATCGCTCACTTACTCATTTTGGAGCATTTGGCCATTGACAAATTAGAATGAGGAGTTCCAGGCAGCAGATCCCTGCTACTGGGAAAACTGAAGTGAGTGCTGAACTGATAAATTAGTACCATGTCCCATACACTTGGCTTCTGAGGGGCAAGGAACTCAGGAACAGCTTTTATGTGAAGTGGTCTATCAGTCTCAAAAGAGTTTCCCTCCCCTCCCCTCCCCCAGCAGATTGTTCCCAGGCAATGCCAATTAATTGAAGTGTGTGTGTGTGTGTGTGTGTGTGTGTGTGTGTGTGTGTGTGTGTGTGTGTGTGTGTGTGTGTGTGTGTGTGTGTGTGTGTGTGTGTGTGTGTGTGTGTGCGCGCGCGCGCGTGGTGGGGCTTGAACTCAGAATCCAGGCACTGTTCCTGAGATCTTTTGCTCAAGGCTAGTACTCTACCACTTTGAGCCACAGTGTCACTTCCAGTTTTCTGGTGGTTAATTGGAGATAAGAGTCTCATGGACTTTCC